CCCCAAAACCCCAAAACCCCAAAACCCCAAAACCCCTCAAGATCATTGAGAAATTGAAGTTTCTGGTTATTATAAAATATTAATGTTATCTAGAAATATGTTGCGATTTCACCAATATTCCAGACCTCTGAGAAGCATGCCTCTTGGCTTAAGTTCACTTGGAACTCCAGTGAGGATGTTCTCAACTCTTGGGTTTAATCAGGAAGATGTTACTAACTCACATTCGTTTTTCAGATTAGTTAGGCAAAAGAAATATCATGAAATATCAGATAGTCTCTACCAGAGTGTGGTGAATCAACTTGAGAGTAAAGATAGAGTGACAATCTCAAGAGTTGTTACCCTCATTGAGTCCTTAAACCTTGAGCATAGAAGGAGAGCTGATAAAATATTTGAAATCCTGTTTAAGAGGTACAAAGAAAAGAACTTGAACCACTCTCTTGACCAAGATCTGCCTACTTTTAGAATTGGAATCTGTGGAGCGCCAGGTTCAGGTAAATCATCTCTGATTGAGAAAATCGGAATGTCACTTATCAACGAGGGTATGAAGGTAGCTGTCCTAGCCATTGATCCATCCAGTGCTAAGACTGGAGGATCAATTCTGGGTGATAAGACCAGGATGGAATATTTATCCCGAGAGGTCAATGCATTTGTCAGGCCATCACCTACAAAGGGTTATCTAGGTGGAGTATCCCTGAACACAAATGAAATTGTCACACTTTGAGAGCACGTTGGATTCGATGCTGTCCTCATTGAAACTGTTGGAGTCGGTCAATCAGAAATTGAGATCGATACAGTATCAGACTTTGTAGTGTATGTCGTTCCACCAGCAAGCGGTGATGAACTTCAAGCCTCTAAAAAGGGAGTCATGGAAATTGCTGACTGAGTAGTCATTAATAAGTTCGATTCAGAATACGAAAAATCTTGTAGAGTTGTAAAGCACCAAATATTGGGAGGTCTTCATCTCTCAAGACCAAAAGTTGATGGTTGGAGAGTCCCAGTCGAACTTGTCAGCGCACACAGAGAATACAACATTGATTCTATTTGGAGAAATGCGATGAGATTTAAAGAAAACCATAAGGATATTATTACACAAAAGAGAGGTGAACAGCTTTTACATGGACTCTGGGCCTACATGGGAGACATGCTGCTTAAAAGACTGAAATCAGAATCAGGTCATATATATGCAGATATAATTGCTCAGAACGAGAAGAGATTGATCAAGCAGGAGATAACTCCAAATGCTGCAGCATCTAACATCATGAGCCATATCTTTAAAGATTAGTTCAATTATGGATATCTGAATTGGGGTTTTGGGGTTTTGGGGTTTTGGGGTTTTGGGG